AAAAAAAAGATAAGATAAGATAAGAGTTTGGGGAAATGTGAACTTAGGTTTTGGTGCCTAAAATTTAAGGCTTTTTGTTGGGAAGTAATTGAGCCTTCTTGATATTAACGGAAAATAATTTTATGATGAGAGCTTTCTTGTTTTTCCCTAATTGGTAATAAAGTGGTGGTTGGTGGTGTATGGTGCACTTGCTATGTCTGTATTCTTGAAATGGTTTTCAAGTTATTTTCTCCTTTGCCCATAGTTTTGTGAAGGTTTCTTTCCATTAGCACACGGTTTTATTTTGTTTGATTGGGAGTGGTATTTGATGGTATATTAATATTGGGAGATGCTACGATTTTACGAAACCAGTCGGAGTTTGTAACCGTTAGATCAATAATTCCCGACGGATACATGATGATCCAACAGTTACAAACTTCGATGGAATGGTTACGTAACGGCACCGTAGCATTTCTCATTAATATTACTGTTTTGCATTTTTCCACTTGTAGTTTGTAGTTAGCGTATTCTTATTTCTTGCAACGTGGTCGATACAAATTTTGGTTGAACCTGAAATAACCAGACCTAAATATTGGTTTTCAGTTCGTCTTTCGTTTCCGGTTTTCATTTTGAAATTATGATTATTTCGATTTGGTGTTGGTTTTTGGTTTTTTAGAAATTCGAATTAACCAACCAAATCATAATATAATTCAACTTCAGTTAATTCGATTAATCGACCAAAAAACGAACTGAATATTTTGGTTCAATTTTGGGCATAAATTCAATCAGCTCAATTTGATTTTTGTGAACGAAGCATTAGGCTATTTCATTGAAGCTCAATAAACTTTTGACAATTTCAAATGAATTTGGACATAGACATTTTCACTTCAAGAACGTTCAATTGTACCATGAATATGTGTAGATAAAACTCAAGAAATCCATAAAAAAACATCATATTCATAATATATCAAACATAGAAATAAACTATATCCCTAAGAAAGAAACAATGATCAACAAATTCCTAAAATCCAATGAATAAATCGAAGCCATGCAATGCAACCATCACCAGACCTCACAAAGTCAAAGTCAATGCCACAGCTTCGGGCAAAAACCCCCCGGCACAGTCGAGCACTTCTTGCCCGAAACAACATCCGAGAACGCATCCACGAGCTGGCCCGCAAGCGACTCGAGATCCTCGATAAACGTGTCAACAAAAACTCTCACGACCCTCACCTCCCGTGAGCTCGCCCTCAAACTGTACCACGTCAAAAACCTCTGCCGGAAAGAAGTCTCAATATAACCCTCACACTCCAAACGCCGAATAGCTTTCACATAGTACTCGAAATCCTTGCCGCACTCCCCATCTCGATTTTCCTCTGTTTTTTTAGACGAGCTACCAGCTTGAGGCTCGTCTGAATCCTTCTCACTTGTTTTGAAACGTTTTTTCTTGAAATTTTCCTTTTTCACTTTCTCCGAGCCATTATTTACGTACGGGACGCATTCCAAGCCAGCCACAGGCGAATTATCGTCGTTTTTTGGCTTATCAAGGAACAGATTTATATTTAGCTCTTCACTGGTTTTATCGTTATTGTTCGTCTCATCTTCGACCGAGGAAGGATTCGAGAGGCTGCTGCAGTTAGCTTCCGAACAATTGGAGTTTAGGTTTCGAGGCTCGGTTTTTTCGGGAAGGTCTCCTGTTCTGAACTGAATCTCAAAGGACCCGGATTCTCGATCCTTTTCGAGTATGACAACTTTGAGAAAATAGTCTGTGTTGGGATTTAGATTCGGAAGGAAATATTTCGCGTTCGGTGCATATATTCTGCAAGTGGGCTGTGGGGGGTAATTTGTGTCATCTAGTTTTCGAAGCCATAACATGTAACCATCGGCACTTCTTCTCGTGTTCGAATCATCCGAACTCAGAATTATTCGGACCGATGAGTTATTTACGACTTCGATTCTGACAAGTTTCGATGCGAGTGCAGAGCAATCTACACAAAAAATTGTTAAAAAATGAGGCTCTTTGGGAATGATTGACTAATTAGCTCATTTGTAGAGAGAGAGAGAGAGAGAGAGTTACCAGAAGGAGTTTCAGACGTTCTTTCGGAGAGCATCGTGTCGAGAGACTTCACAGCAGCATCACATAGTCTCTGAATTTCAGGGCCCGACGAGAGCCTGTTCACAATACCACGAGCCATCTTTACCGGCAGGCCAGTTAGAGGGCCCACTTCATTTTCGAGCTTTCTCACTCCTTCATCAATGGTTCCACACAGATTCTGGTAGCATTTAGTACCAGCAAGAATCTTTTGAGCTAACGAAAGCCTATAGCACAATATGTCGACCCGCCTGGTGTCTTTGGCCACAACCAGTTGCTTCCTCCAAGAGCTGTAATTATATTTATCATGTTTATGGCCATATAACCGAAAATGAACAGAAAATGAAATAAATTAATAAATAACATAATATTTACCCAAGCAAATCATTAACTTTCCCACAAGACACACAACAGAAGCTCCCATCTAGTGATGACTCCTTATCCTGCTTATCCTTGCCAATCATTGAATTCTCGTGCCGTAAGGCACACTCGAGATGGAATGATAATCCACAAGACACGCCACAAAAAGGAGAATCTGAGTTGCAAACCAACCAGAGGCTCGGGTCCTTGTTATCGTCATACTTGTAACAAATGCAGCAAGAACACCTCTTGCAAAAGGGGTCCTCACGGCCCATTTTAGCCCTGCAGGCTGAATTTTTGCAATACACAATGATGTTATTGTTATCAAGGCTGGCATCAGAAGAGGGTTCGGATTTCTTTAGCCTTTTGGATGTTCGCTCGTCGTTTTCTGAGGGTTCTTCGGATTTCTTTAGTCCTTGATTGTGTGATTTCTTATCGTGGATGATTTTGAGAAGTTGTTCAATTATTTTCGTCTTGTTTAGGCCCGTGTACTTGCGTTCTTTGCCGAGCTCGGCACAGAGGATCTGCAGTATATCTTGACGGCTCCAAGTGTGCAGAATTTCGATAGCCCCATCTGACCAATTTGAGAGTTCATAAACAAGTTCTCTCTTTTGATCTATGCTTAGCTTGCTGCACTTTGATGGATCGAATAGGACTGTTGTGTTCACAGGAGAAGAGGAAAAAAAACAAAGACGTTATTACAAATGTACACTGATTTATGAAATATAACGCAGTCTCCCAAATAGTTGTTACACGATTATGAACATTTAAATAATAGATTTTATTACTTATAGCAGCAGGGTGACAGGATACAATATAAGCTACCTGGCAGAAGGAAAACATAAAAGAAACATAAAAGATCGATTTGAAACTATCGTGCACTACATATTGTAATGATGGAAGAATAAATTATCTTGTTTTCCCCTTACATGCAGTATAAGAAGCTTAAATGAAATCACAAAGCAACCAAACAATGAAAATAACTCAAAGAAAGAAGGGATCATCGTGGCAACAGGGGAAAATATTGAAAAATATTGCTAACCAAATTGCAAAACTTTCTTCAAGTAGACGGCATAAATAAGCTGTCGTAAGTGTAAATCATCAGTTCTGATATTTATCTGTATGGTACCATTTAGATGTAGATCATAGGGGGAAAAGAAGAAAACATTTTCATCCTATGCTAATGTATGAAATTTGAAAATAACAATTTAATCCATATAATCAACAGGGAGTGTATACTACATTGTGAGTAAAACTACTCCAAACTCGAAAACTAAAGACCTGAAGAATTCAAGACAACGGATGCACGTATTGAATTAAAACGTCAAAATTGTTCATTCAGAGACGTTGAAATTCAAAAAAATTATTTCAAAGTACGCGGAAGCATAAGCTGATCGATGAACGAATGAAAAATACGGCATGCTCTAAGAAAAGAGAAAATGTGACATCGACCCAAGAATATTTGAACGAACGACTTCAACAACCATAGCCAACCATCTTTCCAAGTCCACGCAAAACATATCGACGACATCAAGAAAAATGACAGCTTGAAACCATTGCGTTCATCAATTTTCTTCTCATAAGCATCTTTCAAAACACACAATGAAGCATGAAAAAAAAGCAATTAAAGTAGGCAATTCTTGAAGTCTATTCCTTTTTTCTTGTAACATGAAAAGGAAAAGGCAAATAAAAAATGCATATACAAAAAGGATTAATTATTAAAAAAAAAAAAAAAAAAGTAGCATAGCAATGGAGTGTGTGCGTGAGTGTGTGAGCATGCGTGTCTGCCTCTGTGGTGTCAATATCATCCAAGAAATAAATTAAAATATAACAATATAATCAATGATTCACCAAACAACCAAATCAAGGGAGAAATCACACCACCAAACAGATCAACCATGAAATCCAACATCCCATTATTCTAAAATCCCCCCCAAAAAAAAAAAAAAAACACACTTTTTTTTACATCAACGGTATGAAAAACTTCAAGAAAAGCACAAGAACAACCAACATATATAGGAAATCCAAAAAGATTGAATCTTTACCCTCCACAGAAGAAGCCTCCATAGCTAATGTTCGTTTTCAATAGCAAAAAATTAAGCCCACATTAGCACCAAGAAGAGCCCATTTGCCCTTCACCTGAAAAAAGAGAAAATTTTTCAGCCTCCCAATACAAATATAGGGAAAAAACTATACAACAAAACGGTATATATACACAAATATATACAGATATGGAGGGGAAGGCTAGCTACAGAAACTACAAGTACCGAAGAGAGTGTAATAAATCCATCAAAAGATGGGTCTTTTAACGTGGGTTTGCATAACCCAAAGCGATTTTATTGAATATATTTTGTATCTGCCTGTGTTTATGAAGGGATGAAGGGATTGAGAGAGAGAGAGAGAGAGAGAGAGAGAGAGGCAGTTGAGGGGCTGGGCTGAGGCTGAGGAGATTATATAAAAGGGGAGAGGAATAGTAAAAAAAGCGAATAAATAAATAATAAATAAGGGAAATGTTACCGTCCGGTCTATCGAGTGTTCTAACCGTTGGATCACATGTACTTAAATTAGATAGATAATTCAACGGTTAAAATACTCGATAGGATGGTAACGGGACCGAAGTATTTTCAGTAAATAAATATATATATATACATATGGAAATGAGGCTAAATCAATAGGGAAATAAAAAAGCGGCTGAATATTGATACCCCTTTTTTTAACCTTTTCCCTATCATGTCATAGGCATTTGTCAGTCTACAGTTGCTATTTTCTTGCATTGTTTTGTTTGTTTTACCATGCACTTCATCCAATTTATTTTCAGCTTTCCAATTCTTGATTTGTAAATTTTAAATTTTTTTTTATCTGCCTTTTTCAATCAAATGACCGTCATGTAGGGTTATAATTTTGAGAGCGGTTATAGTACCGTTACGAAACCATTCTATCGGGATATGTAACCGTTCGATCAACTATCTCGGACGGTTACATAATGATCTAACGATTACAAACTCCGACATAATAGTTCCATAACAGGACCGTAGCATTCCCTGTAACCTTAATTAATGAGTATATCAATTTTGCATTGGAGTTAATCTGATGATACAACTTATAAGTCATTCACAATTATTCAGAAACTATTTAACGATATATGTTCTAAAATAAATACATTTTACACAGGTATCAATACATCAATTCTTTGATGAGATTTTACAAGAGAGTAATCTGTTCGTCTCAAATATTGCTTATGGTAATATTTTTAAGTAATTTGATGAACTTTTTCTCCCCTTTTGCTATGATATGGGGAACTAGTGCTGTAAACGAACCGAACCGAACCGAGCTTGGGTTGTTCGAGCTCGTGTTCGTTTACGTTCGAACAGTGTTCGTGTTCGTTCGTTTATTTTTCGAGCAAAAAATTGTGTTCGAGTTCGTTCGTTTAATTGTTCGTCAAAGTTCGAGTCCGTTCGTGTTCGAATAATTTCATATATAAACTTTTAAAATATGTTTGATTAACTCGAAATTTGTTCGTTCGAACTCGAAAATAAAAGAATAAAATAAAAATATTTTTATATTTTAGATTTTTTATTAAAAATATTATGTAAATATATAAAAAAATAAATAAAATTATATTAAATTTTAGATTTTTATTAAAAATATTATATAAATATATAAAAAATTAAATAAAATTATATAAAATTAATGTTCGCGAACATAATCGAACGTTCACGAACGAGCTCGTGTTCGTTCGATTATTAAACGAGCCTAATTTTCTGTTCGAACTCGGCTCGATTAATAAACGAACGAGCTTTTGTCGAACACGAACGAGCTCGAACGAGCTTTTGTTCGCGAACGTTCAGTTCATTTACAGCTCTATGGGGAACTAATGTGAAACATCTGTTCCAAATAGTTAACTCAGTCCACATTTGTTGGGTTTGTAAAATTGTAATTATACCCACATTCAAAAAAAAAAAAAAAAAA